GGGTGAGCCTGAGAAATAAAAGCCCAGGATTCAGTTCAGTTCAGTTTTATTTCTAAAGTGCCAAATAACAACAAAAGTCATCTCAGGACACTTTACAAAGTAATATCTAGACCTTACTCTTATTAATATTTTTATAGAGGAAATAGACATTATAGAGGACCATTCACTATTTTCACCTTTAAGCTCCATGGCATAGTCATTATTAATTGTTGGGGGTTTTTATATATATGTTTTTTTAAGACTTATCCGGTTAGATTTTTTAGGAATACTTTGTTCAGTGTCAAAGGGTGTCATTTCTGCTGGTACAACAAATGTGAGTATGAAAGCCTGAGTGGCAGCTGGATGATATCCAAGAGGAGAACATCTGTTGGCAGCCACAGAGGCATCCCACCAGCTCATAATCAGTCAGAAAGGAAAAGGTTATGGCACCAATTCAAAAGAATATCATAGGAGAGGTCATTTAGAAAGGGAAATTAACATTGATGTTTAGGTGGATAATTACTGTAATTCACTTCAGCGCCAGCCATTAGTGCTTTAGTGTTAGAGGAATTAGGGGCTGGCTATTATGAACTTACTTATTGTACAACTGTCACTGGTTGAAAGGCCCCATCACTTCTGAGGGACACAAATATCCATATTCCATCAAAACAGATGGCATGAATTGTTTGCAATTCATTTACAATGACGTTTGACCTCAAAGCATTTAGCACAGTGCAGATGTACATATGTACAATAAAATAAAATATTAACTAGTTTAATTCACCAGGAGACTATCTTGATAGTTTGTATGTTCTCCTTGTGCCTGTGTGGGTTCTCTCTGGGTACTCTGGCTTCCTTCCACAGTCCAAAGAATTGCAGCCTAGGTTGTTGGCGACTTAAATTTCCTGTAGGAGTGAGTGTGTGTGATTGTCTGTCTCTAAGTATCAGCCCTGTGATAGACTGGCGACCTGTACAGGGTGGACCCCGCCTCTTGTCCACTGTCAGCTGGGACTGACCCTCTTCAGGATAAGCGGTTTAGATAATGGATGGATGGTTGGACTATCTTGATATGCTGTTGACATTTTTCATCCCTGCTACTGTAGTTGGGGGCAAACAAAAGGGGCTGAGCTGGTAGAAACGGGGTAGCCTATGATGTATTTGTATTTATTTATTAGTCTTTTATTTAACAGCCTCACTGCCTTGCAATCATGAGAGGTCTGAAATCATTAGTCTGGTCTGATCAGCATCACTGTCTTAAATAGTTTATAGTTTATTTGTTTCAGCAGTGAAGATGGCATAGTCATTATTAATTGTTGGGGGTTTTTATATATATGTTTTTTTAAGACTTATCCGGTTAGATTTTTTAGGAATACTTTGTTCAGTGTCAAAGGGTGTCATTTCTGCTGGTACAACAAATGTGAGTATGAAAGCCTGAGTGGCAGCTGGATGATATCCAAGAGGAGAACATCTGTTGGCAGCCACAGAGGCATCCCACCAGCTCATAATCAGTCAGAAAGGAAAAGGTTATGGCACCAATTCAAAAGAATATCATAGGAGAGGTCATTTAGAAAGGGAAATTAACATTGATGTTTAGGTGGATAATTACTGTAATTCACTTCAGCGCCAGCCATTAGTGCTTTAGTGTTAGAGGAATTAGGGGCTGGCTATTATGAACTTACTTATTGTACAACTGTCACTGGTTGAAAGGCCCCATCACTTCTGAGGAACACAAATATCCATATTCCATCAAAACAGATGGCATGAATTGTTTGCAATTCATTTACAATGACGTTTGACCTCAAAGCATTTAGCACAGTGCAGATGTACATATGTACAATAAAATAAAATATTAACTAGTTTAATTCACCAGGAGACTATCTTGATAGTTTGTATGTTCTCCTTGTGCCTGTGTGGGTTCTCTCTGGGTACTCTGGCTTCCTTCCACAGTCCAAAGAATTGCAGCCTAGGTTGTTGGCGACTTAAATTTCCTGTAGGAGTGAGTGTGTGTGATTGTCTGTCTCTAAGTATCAGCCCTGTGATAGACTGGCGACCTGTACAGGGTGGACCCCGCCTCTTGTCCACTGTCAGCTGGGACTGACCCTCTTCAGGATAAGCGGTTTAGATAATGGATGGATGGTTGGACTATCTTGATATGCTGTTGACATTTTTCATCCCTGCTACTGTAGTTGGGGGCAAACAAAAGGGGCTGAGCTGGTAGAAACGGGGTAGCCTATGATGTATTTGTATTTATTTATTAGTCTTTTATTTAACAGCCTCACTGCCTTGCAATTATGAGAGGTCTGAAATCATTAGTCTGGTCTGATCAGCATCACTGTCTTAAATAGTTTATAGTTTATTTGTTTCAGCAGTGAAGTGTGACACAGCTGATCTCCATTTTATAACTATATTATAATTTTCATTTTTAAAAATTATAAAATTAAAATGAAAAAAGTGGCATGGTGGTGCAGTGATTAGCACTGTTGCCTGACAGCAAGAAGGTTCTGGGTTCAAACCTCACAGCCAAACAGACCTTTCTGTGTGGAGTTTGCATGTTCTCCCTGTGCCTACGTGGGTTCTCTCCTGGTACTCCGGCTTCCTCCCACAGTCCAAAGACATACAGGTTACTGTAGGTTGACTGGTGACTCTAAATTGCCTGTAGGTGTGAGTGTGAGTGTCTCTGTGTGTCAGCATTGTACTAGATTGCTGACCTGTTCAGTGTGAACCTCACCTCTCGCCCAGTGTCAACTGGAATTGGCTCACAGTTAAATTAAAATAAATATATTTTGCCAATGAAATGTGACAAAAAAGAAAACTTAAAAAAAAATTTGATATAGACAATCAGTTTATGTCTTCCTGCGTTTTGTTGAATGACTTTAAGTAAATAGTAATTAGTATTGTTTAGCTGGCTATCATTTCCTACTTGTAAAAATTGATTTTGAGGTGATAAGATACAGTGCCTTGCGAAAGTATTCGGCCCCCTTGAACTTTGCGACCTTTTGCCACATTTCAGGCTTCAAACATAAAGATATAAACCTGTAATTTTTTGTGAAGAATCAACAACAAGTGGGACACAATCATGAAGTGGAACGAAATTTATTGGATATGTCAAACTTTTTTAACAAATAAAAAAACTGAAAAATTGGGCGTGCAAAATTATTCAGCCCCCTTAAGTTAATACTTTGTAGCGCCACCTTTTGCTGCGATTACAGCTGTAAGTCGCTTGGGGTATGTCTCTATCAGTTTTGCACATCGAGAGACTGAAATTTTTGCCCATGCCTCCTTGCAAAACAGCTCGAGCTCAGTGAGGTTGGATGGAGAGCATTTGTGAACAGCAGTTTTCAGTTCTTTCCACAGATTCACGATTGGATTCAGGTCTGGACTTTGACTTGGCCATTCTAACACCTGGATATGTTTAGTTTTGAACCATTCCATTGTAGATTTTGCTTTATGTTTTGGATCAGTGTCTTGTTGGAAGACAAATCTCCGCCCCAGTCTCAGGTCTTTTGCAGACTCCATCAGGTTTCCTTCCAGAATGGTCCTGTATTTGGCTCCATCCATCTTCCCATCAATTTTAACCATCTTCCCGGTCCCTGCTGAAGAAAAGCAGGCCCAAACCAGGATGCTGCCACCACCATGTTTGACAGTGGGGATGGTGTGTTCAGGGTGATGAGCTGTGTTGCTTTTACGCCAAACATAACGTTTTGCATTGTTGCCAAAAAGTTCGATTTTGGTTTCATCTGACCAGAGCACCTTCTTCCACATGTTTGGTGTGTCTCCCAGGTGGCTTGTGGCAAACTTTAAACGACACTTTTTATGGATATCTTTAAGAAATGGCTTTCTTCTTGCCACTCTTCCATAAAGGCCAGATTTGTGCAGTATACGACTGATTGTTGTCCTATGGACAGAGTCTCCCACCTCAGCTGTAGATCTCTGCAGTTCATCCAGAGTGATCATGGGCCTCTTGGCTGCATCTCTGATCAGTCTTCTCCTTGTATGAGCTGAAAGTTTAGAGGGACGGCCAGGTCTTGGTAGATTTGCAGTGGTCTGATACTCCTTCCATTTCAATATTATCGCTTGCACAGTGCTCCTTGGGATGTTTAAAGCTTGGGAAATCTTTTTGTATCCAAATCCGGCTTTAAACTTCTCCACAACAGTATCTCGGACCTGCCTGGTGTGTTCCTTGTTCTTCATGATGCTCTCTGCGCTTTAAACAGACCTCTGAGACTATCACAGTGCAGGTGCATTTATACGGAGACTTGATTACACACAGGTGGATTCTATTTATCATCATTAGTCATTTAGGTCAACATTGGATCATTCAGAGATCCTCACTGAACTTCTGGAGAGAGTTTGCTGCACTGAAAGTAAAGGGGCTGAATAATTTTGCACGCCCAATTATTCAGTTTTTTATTTGTTAAAAAAGTTTGAAATATCCAATAAATTTCATTCCACTTCATGATTGTGTCCCACTTGTTGTTGATTCTTCACAAAAAATTACAGTTTTATATCTTTATGTTTGAAGCCTGAAATGTGGCAAAAGGTCGCAAAGTTCAAGGGGGCCGAATACTTTCGCAAGGCACTGTAAAAATTACTGCAGGTAGTGCAATGTAGGCCTAACTTCACAAAGGTTTATTCAGCTACTGTACAATGCTGACAAAATACTAAAGTACAGCTAAAGCTTATATATGTAAGGCTCCTGACAAAGGATCTCCCAGTTCTCCCAGGTCATTTTTCACAGAAACACCTTTTTATATTACAGTCCACACCAACAACACAGTAGTTTTGGAAAATAACTAAGTACATTTACT